GGGGGGGGGGGGGGGGGGGGGGGGGGGGGGGGGGGGGGGGGGGGGTGCAAATTTCTACCCCTAAACACTTCAACACTCCTTTCAGATCATGTTTCACAAAAGATAAACCACTAAATAATTTCTCGATCATTAATATAATACTTATATTTCAATCACTCGTTTTTTGTCTTAAATTGATTTATTTCATTTTTTAGATTTTAATTATAATAATCATTTTCAAACAATTAAAAAAATACAATTTGAATTTTTTCTTGAAGGAAGGTTGTCAAGTTTTTGGCATTCTAAAGTTTCTTACCTAGTATCGAATATTTCTTCACCTAGTTTAAACGAAGATTTATTTCGAAAGAAACTTTTCCATTTATATATCTCAATAAATTCTGAGATAAACACGTTTTTAACTAAGTGCAAACTGTACTTAGTATATATACGTTTTAAATTTGAAGGAGAAGCTGTGATTATTTAAGATTTTAACATCTAATTTAATCACATTGTTACTCTTTATTTTATTATTTATTCAGCTGGTAATTTTTTTAACCGGTTGAAAAATGCCGAAGACAAAAAGAAGATCGATATCTCAAAGAAATGCCGAGATGGCAAAAAGAATGAGAGAAAAAAGAAATAATGATGAGTTCCACTTGTCAGACAATAGACGATGAGCAAATTCTCACAAAGCTCAACGACGAAATGAAGAATTTAAAATAGAAGACAACAAAAGACGAGCTGATGCCCATAAAGTTGAACGACAAGATGATGAATTTAAAAAAGAAGAAAATAAAAAAAGAGCAGAAGCTCTTAAAATTGCGCGACATGATAATGAATTCAAAACAGAAGAAAATAAAAGAAGAGCTGATGCTCATAAAGTTGAACGACAAGATGATGAATTCAAAGAAGAAGAGAGAAGGAGAAATGCACTAAGAATGCACAATAGTAGAGATAAATACAAAAGTAATTTTGATAGCATGAAATCAAATTATGAGTCAAAAATAAAAGAAGGACCTACTCATATTTGTAGTTGTTGCGGTGGTTTATGGTTTGAGTATTCAATCAGAGAATATACAGTTGAGATGTTAACAAACAAAGGATTAAAAGCAGAATTTATCAATACAGTTTGTTATCTAAAACATACGATCATTAAATTATGTGTTACTTGTAGAAAGGACATCATGTTGGGTAAAATACCTAATCTCTGCCTATCTAACGGCTTAGCATTCTATGAAGTACCGGATTGTTTGAAAATCTTGACTGAATTAGAAGAAAGATTGATATCACCAAGAATTCCTTTTATGATAATTCAAACTTTAGACTTTTGTAAACAATTTGGTCTCAAAGGTAATTTAGTAAATGTTCCCATGAATGTTGACACAAATGTTTCAATATTACCCAGAAGTTTTAGCGATACTCACACGATTCAATTGAAACTCATGAGACAAATCAAAAATAAAAATGCTTTTATGTACGAAACAATTCGACCAAAAGTTGTACATACAGCTATAAAATATTTTGTTGAACAAGAACTATATAAAGATGAAGGCATTGTTATATCTAATAATTGGCTGAACGAATATTCCAATGAAAGAGAAAATTTTGTTGTTAATGATGAAGATAAAAAATTTGTTGAGAATGAAAACACAGGAAAAGGTTTTGATGACGATGACAATTGGAATGAATGTGACGATAAGCCAATCAATCCAGGAGCTACTGAAACATTATTAAATGATGAGATTGATGATCAAAATGATATTGGTATTAAATTTGCTCCGGGAGAGAATAACAAGCCAATATCTATTTTGATGGATTTGAAAGTCGATGAGTTAACATTTCCAAAAATTTATTGTGGAAAACAAAGAAAAATCAAACCAAATGTTAAATTGACTTATGCTAAAATTGCCAAGTCAGAACTAAGAATGTTTGATCGAAGATGTGGAAGAGTATCGAAACTATTTTTTACATATAAGAAACTACAAACAAGAAAGTTCTCTGATGCTATTTCAATAAATTTGAGAAAAACAAAAAATACAAAAAACGTAACGGCTACACAGATGCTCAATCGAGATTATGTAAATGGATCAATACATAATGATGATGGTTTTACATTCTTAAGATGTGATCGATCTTCACCAGCATTTTGGGAACTAAAAAAGAAAGAAGTTATGGCAATGATCAGGCAATTAGGATGTCCAACACTATTTTTAACATTATCAGCAGCAGAAACACAGTGGTCAGAACTTATTATAATATTAACTCAAGTTTTGGAAAATAAAGTAATAACATTAGAAGAAGCAGAGAGTATGAGTTATGAAAAGCAATGCGATTTGATAAGAAATGATCCTGTAACACGTGTTCATTATTTTGAACATAGATTAAAATGTTTATGGGAAATATTATCAGCTCCTTGTGGTCCATATCAAGGCTATGAATTAGTAGACAAATATGTCAGAACTGAATCTCAAGTTCGTGGTTCACCACATGTTCATGCTCTACTATGGTTAAAGAATGCTCCAAAATATGACGAAAATAATCCTGAATCAATTGAAAGTTGTATAGAATTTATTGATAAATTGATTTCGGTTAGTTCTAAGCCAACGAAGTTTTCTGAAGAACTTATCAATTTGCAAAGTCATAAGCACTCACATACTTGTAAAAAATATGTAAAAGATTGTATTAAATGTCGTTTTGGTATTCCATATTTTCCGATGAGAAAAACGATGATTTTAGAACCATTTAGTGATGATGCAAAAGTTAACTAAGAAAGAACGTGAAGAGATCAGCAAAAATAGACAGAATGTAATCAAAGAACTTGACAAAATATCAAAATATCAAGATAATTCATTAACTTTTGAAGAATTCTTGAAACATGTAAATATGAATGAAGAAGAATATATTAAAATGATTCGAGCTGAATTGAAAAAACCGAAAGTATTCTTGAAACGTGGTCCAAGTGAAATCAGAAGCAATGCATACAATCCAATGATAATGTCATTGCATAAAGCAAATATGGACATTCAATACATTCTTGATCCTTATGCATGCTCGATGTATTGTGTTGATTACATCAACAAATCTGAAAATGGCATGTCTAAACTTCAAAGAGAAGCACTGAATGAGCTAAAAAAAGGCAATAACACAGTCAAAGAACGACTTAGAGTTATTGCAAATAAATTTTTGAATTCAAGCGAAATTTCAGCACAAGAAGCTGTTTATCATATTTTAAGTATTCCACTTTCAATCAGTAGCAGAAGC